AATACGCAGTAGCTTAAAGCAAGAACAAGAATGCATTAAATCATAATTAAAGTAAAACAACAAGGAAAGGTGACCAAAACAGTAATAATGGGTCACTGACAAAAAAGGCATAAGATTAATTTAAACTTTATAATTAATACATTTGCACATTTAATATAACTTTTGCCTTTTCTAAATGTTTTATGTAAATAGGTATTACTTTTGTAAAATACATGTGTTGACATCCATGGAAGCACAAAGTAAATTTGATGTATCATGCAATTACGAATTTACTTTGTGAGAACCATGTTGGTTGAAAACAATTTAAGCCTTTCTTTAATTTGCCAACAGTGTGTGTTTTTAAGATAGAATGACGTGTTAAAACCTGCAACGTTACAACACAAGCTTTTGTCAACAAAAGTTAGTTATTCTGTTGCTATTCCATAAACTGTCATTTATAAAGATTACCTCAAACAAAGAGAAGTCGTAGGTAACCGATACTGGTTCCCACCGGAATAGTGTCACAAATGGGATAATGGGCAGTCCACAAGGACTTCACATAAAATGTTTTCATTTTGCCTGATCTTAAATTGTTCCTTCCTTAGTCCAGTTGCATTTCAGTGGTAATGTTTAATACATACTGCAGTGTTTCCCCCATACCATTATCCACAAAAGGTGCCTTGATTACCAAAATCTCCCTCAGCATTAGTAAGTTCCTAGGGGAAACACTGTAGTGCCATCTAAAAAGGCCACAACATGAACAATAAAATCTTAAATTTGATCAAAATCATAATTCTTCAAGCCAGGTTATATTAGCAGAAGCCAAGTTAATGGCAAACAGTATATTGTGTCTTGTGAACCAAAGTGTGATGTGCTACAATGCAAATATTTTAAGACACTTATGCAATTAAATGTCTTTAACTGAAGTCAACGATACTCTATATAAATGGATAATGTATAAAACTGCAAGGCATGCATGTTGACCGGATGACAAGAGAACACAGTTGCAAAATTTGACAAAGTTACAGCAGGGAGGAAATGGAGCTGAAAAGACGACCAAGAGTACTACTTTTTGCTGACTCAGACTTTCTACACTACCACCACAAAATCTAGTGCATCACATCAGGGAATTGGTCTGTAAAACAAAATTCATATTTATAAATTTCAACACAACAGCCTAACATTTTATGGTTTTATACTGAGGTGAATACGTATATTCAAAGTGCAACATCAGAATGAGCTACTGTTGGGACGGGCTCTCCAAAATCATGTGACTCTGCAAAGAGGCATACTTTGTCTCTTGCTCTCCTCATAAGCATCAAGTCATTTTAATTAATAAATAAAAACATTTAAACATTTTTTTCAAGTGCGATGGAAAACAACTCTGCAAGAAACACTGATATTGACTGGTGCCAGTCTGCATAGATGAAAACATCTAGTGTACAGGGTAACTTTTGGTGTTGTCATTTTATGGGCGGCAAATAGTTAGTGTTCGTTTGCATAAAACGAACTTCTCTTAATTTCAACATACCTAAAAGGAGACTAATGCTAATTGTATAAAAAACAAACAAACATAGGGGTGCACCGATTGCAGATTTCTGGCCGATCAGATTTCTAAAAAGTCTGACCTGCCGATTTTGGCCGATACCGATTTTGTTTTATAAGCACCGCTGTCGGGTTTTATAAGGTCACAATGCACCTTCAATTTTCCAATATTATTTTATTGAAAAACATACCCTTTAACAATATCCTAGAAACAATACAAACTTGTTTTAACTGGCCATGAGGTAGTGCTCTGAAACAAAAATGAAGTTAAGACAACTGTTGTTAAAACTAAAAATATATATATATTTTTTAAATCTGTAAAATCGGTTTTATCATGCATTGGCCAATTTCCGATATCCAAAAATTAAGAAGTCGGTTGATTAATCTGTGCAAAACAAAAAACAACAAAACATTTTACTTTTCTGCGAGACAACTGGAAAACCCCTGAACAGTGTAGAATTTAAAATCAGTTTCATTTAATATTCAAGACTAAATATTTGAAATAAATATTTGACATCCAATACATTCAACAACAAAAAAATCATAATATTTGAACATTTTGAGATTAATTTAAAATGTCTAGACTGGATATATTTTAAGAGCTGTTGCCTCTCAGCGAGAAGGTCGCCGGCTCAAATCCTGGCCGGGGGTGCCTTTCTGTGTGTAGTTTGCATGTTCTCTCCGTGCATGTATGGGTTTTACACTCTGGTTTCCTCCCACTGACCAAAAACATGTTGCACGTTAGACCGATTGGCAACTCTAAAATGTCCCTAGGTGCGAGTGAATAGTAGTCTCATTTGTCTCTATGTGTCCCTGTGATGGACTGGAGACTTGTCCAGGATCCACCTCTTGCACAGTGATGGCTGGACATGGGCACCAGTGACCCCCGCAATCCAAAAAGGAAGAAGCAGGTAAAGATAATGGACGGATGGACAAATTTTAGGCCTTGATTTAATTTATTTTTTCCCCTAAATTCAGTTTATGTTTTTATAATATCTGAAAGGCACATATTTTCACTTAAACAAGACTTGGGATACGGTGGATTAATAAAAAAAACAACTGAATAAGCTATCCCAAACTATCAGTATTAAACAAATACAGCAAATTTTTCAGATCAACAAAACAACTCTTTAATAATGTGTTAAAATCTACTTTTGATGTCAAATTTTCTTACGGTTACAGTTTAAGCACTAACAAATCTTACTGAAAAATAGATAAATCACACCTTGGACAAAAATCACAGGCCTGCACACAACACCAATTCAGTCACTTGATTTTAGCCTGTTCTTACATGTCAGATGGGCATGCTTAGTCTAAAGTTTCCACATCGGGTTTCTACATTTAATCACAAAATGGTGACAAACGCATGTTGCAACTAAAATGTAGCATATTTGAATGCTTAATATAAATTCAAATACCGTTTTTAAGTTAGTGAAAATAAATTTGGTTTTGAAGAGTTTTTACATGAATAATGGGATACCTGAAATAAAAGTTTACAGTCTTAAAAAAATACATAAATAAAACTTTGTTCCATCAAATCAGCACTTGGATTAGTTTTTTTTTTTCATTACATAATCTGCTCAAGTAATGTTTTGAAACATGCATGAAACAGCATATGCATCTCGTGCATTATTGATAATTAGAGATCCTTTGGGAGTGTAAGTGACAAAGAGAAAAGACAACTTGTGCCCTACAAATGATAAAAATCAGGGAACATTTAACCAAATCACAGCCTGGCAGTGGAAGGTAATAAAATCAGAGAGATTCAAATCTTTTTCAAATCAATTTATTTTATATATTATGATACAAAACTGAACTATACTTAGCTACCAGTAATCTGAGGATTCATGAAAAAAAATTTGAGCTTTGAATTTAAAAAGGAAGCTCAGTTTTACCGTTAAACAATGAGTAATTTCACTAGAAAGATGTGTATGATTGTGCAAGGTGTAAGATAACAGTCAATCTATAATTTTACCACTTTTGTGCTGCTCCTTGCTCAGTCACACTACTGAACATGAATGTCAAAAATCATTCATAACATTTCAGTTCAACTGAATTACAAAAGGCCTTCGCACAACTTTGAGAGGCTCAGCCTTCATAGAATATTTGCTGATAAGCCTACAGATTAATTAAACTGCTGTTCAACACCAAAACATCAGAGAGCTCCATCACAGTATTTTAAGGTGGAAAAGTAACATTAATTGGGTTTTACAAATACAAAAGCCTGACTTAACCAAGGAAACCACCTGCTTTAAATTGTGATAATACAGCACTTCACCATACGATTGTCAGATTTTGTAGTTTATATCATTATTTAAGGAAATAAAATACCAAGAACCTTTGATATTGTGATTACACAGTGAAAGAGCAAATCGCTTAAAAACCGTTATCACTGACACCAAACGCACTGACCCTGACCTCTCAAAGATCAATGTCTGGGCTACAAACAGTTATCACTGGTACATTCTGCAGTGCCTCCCAGAAGTGAAAACTGGAGAAACAAAAGACTTGATATGAAGGTAGTTCATTTTAAAGTTCACCATTTTAAGTCTTGTAAAACCATACGTCCTAAAACTGTTTGAATAGTGTTACCATGTTAAAAACTTGTGTTTATTTTATCTAGAAAACTGACACTTCAACTAAGCTTTTTTAATTCTGACCAAGTTATTTTATTCAGGTCGTATTAAAAAAGGTGTGGCCATTTACACCCAGGTAAACCACAGCTACAAGTGGCTTTACAAGCATGGAAAATAATTACAAAGTTTCATTAAACTTATGACAGTCTTAAAAGCCAGTTTGTCTAAATAACTACAATATTTAATAAGAAAAGTGGCTCTTTTCAGGGAGTGCAGGTGTCATTCAGTTCACTGATCACCACATGATGATCGTCTCTACCAGCCAACGTGACGTCCTTTTCAATCAGGACAGCGTGTGAATACCAATAAGTTCACTACAAAGGTCTAATTATGTCAAAAGTTCATGGCTGTCGGGTTTTAAGCGGTGACAGACTCGTTACGTTGAGCAATTCCAAGTCACAATTTGAGCCTTGGCAGTGAAAAATCAAACGCTTCACCGTGGCGTCTGATTAATCAGGTACAGCTGTAACCTACAGCTACCGAACACTTTCAAAAAAGGACATTTTTATGGCTGCGGTCTGTGTTCATAAAGTTTGAAGGGAACTAAAAAAGTTAAACTGCGATTTAATCCTATTATTTAAACGGAGTAGCTACAAAGAGATGTCTTTAGTTAAATCAAAAGCGAAGGTGGCTATCCAAAAAAGTGTTAGCCGTTAGGCTAGTTGCTAGCTAAAACGTCATCCACCCTGTCAAGCTAGTTAGCATAGCTCCACAAAGCTAACCTAGCCTGCTAGCGTTCTCATACTTGTTAGGAAAGTCCCTGAAACTTTAGCGCACCCGCCTGTGATTGTGACTGAAAGAGAAACTTTACCAAACTTCACAATTCATTCATTCGCATACCTGCAGGTGCTCCTGAAAGCGAATGGGCAGGATCTGAGCCATGGCGGTTGCTCTCTCCGTCACCCTCCTCCGATGTCTTCTAGGGCTAACACAAACTACGGCTGCTTCTCCCCGGTGCTAACCGAACAGCCACCGAGTCTCTAATCTAAAGTCCCACTGTCAGTTAGTTCTAAGCCTTGTCCAGAACGAGTTGTCGGCCTGATGGTACTTCTCGTTCACTCCCTTGCGGTTTAATTAAGCTGCTCCCCCCGGCTAATCACCGACTGCCGACTCCCTGGACCTGCAATGGCGATGGAGGTTGGTCAGCGCAGAAAACATCCCGGAAATAAAGAGCGCTGAAGAAGGCGGATGGATATGCGATCACGCTTCTTTTAAAAAAGTGCATAATTATTAGTTTTGGAATATTCACAAAATTATTACCTGGTCAAGAATACAAAGTTCTAACTTTATATTTGATTCCTCGCGTATATAGAAGTAAATGTAAACGTGGGACTACTTCTTCCCGTTTCCCCCTTTGATTTTTGCCACATCATACGTCTTTGTAAATGAACGTCATTCTTACGCGATGAACAGAGGTCGTGCACTTGTTCCTCACAGCCAATCAGATCACTCGGAACACAATCAGACGTAAAAACATTTATTGTTACTTTTTAAACTTCAAAATTATGTGTATAAGATCTGATGCTATGGTTTAACTTCAGATTAATTTGTTTGGCATTTAACAAGTTCCATTCAGACGAAATAATTATTATTTTTTTAAGCAATAAAACGTCTGCATGCACCATCTGAGCACGCTGTCCACTTAAAGATAATTGGGTTACAAATCAGTCCAAATTATATGCTTTTTTTTTTTTTTTTACCAAAATGACCGAGCATTTTTACTGGAAAAAACAGCAAAATGCAGTGTGAATGCTGAGTGCTAAAAGACTGCTGAAGTTTGTTGAAGACGCTAAAACTTATTTGTTAATGGGATCCAAATAAAATTAAAATGAGCAAAACAAAACTTGAAAGTTCAAAATTACAAAGCAATAGTTAGAAGATAGCTAAACTGAAACTGAAATGATCAAAACTGTAGCCAAAATCTAAAATTAACACAAGCTGAAGGCTAAAATTAGCAAGGTAGCAGGTAAAAGTTAAAGTGAGCATAACAGTAGATTTTTTTTAATTATTATTTATTCTGCTGCTCCCTGCTTCAGGGGTCACCACAGCAAACTAACGTGCACGAAGATTCGGTGATTGTTTTTATGCCGAATGCTCTTCCTGACGCAGCCGCAGACCACCGAGCTACCACAGCCCTCTGTGTGGAGCAGAGAGCTGCCATGGGGCACCCGGGGGAGCAGATGGTGGGGGTGAAGGGCCTTGCTCAAGGGCCCAGAGTGAGACAAATGAGGGTGGAGGC